TCTCTTGTGGTTTGGCGATCAAACATTGAAATGTCTGTATTTGTATGTATTGCATGCGTATGTATTTGGGTTTCCATGGTCACTTGCTGTATTTTCCAATTGTTTGGCCCGCGATAGCAGCTGGGAACAAAAAAAAAAGAAAGCTGTTGACACATTTCACCGTTTACCGTTTGGGGAATTTCACAGAGAACTGAACGAAGAGAAATGATGAACAAACGAAGAGGACAGGAGGTGAGAAGTTTCTGAAAAAACACTTACGACATTCTTTTCTAAGTATAGACCGAAAAGAAACTCGACATTCTCTGCAATGCAAATAGCAAACACTAGTTTCACAAACAGTTGTCTGCTTGTCTAAGCCCTCTGAAGTGAAAAGAAATGGCTTTAGCTTCTCTATTAAGGATATATGTGATGACCTTTGGAACAATATTCATGTCGGCAGTATGTGAAAATGACGCCTCTGTAAGCAGCTCGCTAGATTTGGGACAGAGCCACAATTATCATAAGAAATATTAGTGTACATCCATATAGAGTAGCTTGGGATATGCTGGATAATGGGCTCATTGGCTTTGTGTGTCAGTGCAGTATTTATTATTCTGCTTGCTACTGCTAAGTTATTTGGCTGATATATTTATTCAAGTTTCAAGATGACTCATACACTTTATGCAAGAATATGGAGCAACAAGGGCAACGGCCCATTACCCCTCAAAACCCTTGTGTAAGATTGAATTTGCAATTTTTCTGATTTTCAAACCAGAAACCACTATAAACTAAACCATCCATTTTTTTTATTAATTAATTTTAATATATATTTTAAATATTTTATTATATTAGGCCTAAGTTATTCATTTAACCCGTGCCCTTTTGTTACATCAGATTAAATATATATATATATATATATATATATATATATATAGCCTATATACTGTATATATAAATGTAAACTTTATTTCTCAGTTTCAACATTAAAAATGAAAGAGCTCTCATAATTGGTTTATAGCAATATTTAATATTTAACATATTTGTAAGTTTATATTTAGTAATACTTTAACTTTTTAAATGTGTTAATAATAATAATAATATATAATTATGCAATAATTATATATATATCAAATTGTTTTTTATATATATAAATATATTAAATTTTTTATTGTATTTCATAATTTCTTATTTCTTGGTTATTTTAGTAAAAAAAAAAAATTTGAAAAGACGAACTGTAGAATACACCACACATATAATACAATAAATACACATAGAATTGTAATAAATAGAAATATAAGATGAAATATAAGAAATATATTTATATTAAATAAATCTTTTATATTTTAAAACACCAACTTTATTACCATTTATTATTTCAAATGCTAAAAAAACGGAAACGTACAGGTAAGACTGATTTTCGAAAATTATTTTATTTGAAGTGCTAAAATTGACAATACAAATGATCAAACAATTGAATTAATTTATGTTGTTTAACATTATTGAACTACTATTATATCTTGGAAAAATGTGAATATTACATCATTTTTGCGTCATTATAAATGACATGTCACTTACATTTTCACACCTGTGACTTACAGTGTGGAGCCGCAGCATGATCAGTCCTCGCTCTTTGTTTCAGAGTGTTTGGAGCAGAAGGCCACAGAGAGAAGACCAGACCCCTGTTCCTGCTGAACTGAGCCAGCTACAGCCATCCACTGATTATCAGCACAGCAGGCACAGGAGACCAGCCCACTGACAGAGACACAGACAAACCACACGCACCAAAATAATAGCAAACTGAGACACAGACGTCGAGTATGAAACCAGTCAAACAGTCACAGTATCCTCGGGTATTTATGACACACACACACAAATATTTTGCATAAAGACAAAAATGATATTGCATGAATTATTATCTTGACAAATACGCAGAAAACAAACAACAAAACCTTTTTAGCACCAATGTTAAATCTATCAATCTATAAAATAAATAGATAAAAAATTACAAATAATTACAATAATTACAAATAAATTGTGTATATATACACAAACACACATTTATAAATATACTGTATATACATTTAGCAGCTGCTTTTAAACAATCAGAAAGACAGAAATTGTATGCTCATATGAAACCAATCTCATATATATATGCTCCAACATGTGGTGCATCAAATAATGTCATGAATAAATAAATACTGAGAACTGTGAATCTATCCATCTATCTATCTATCTGTCTATCTAATGATATCAAGGCCACACTTTGTTTTAATAGTAGTTTCAGCACATTATTCTTCACGAGTAAAAGCCACCAGTTCTTTGAGAGTGAATGGAGATGTGAATCTATGTTCTTCAGAACTTTCTGTAATGGTTCAGTGATGTTTGGTTTGTCTTCATGCAGGCAGTGATTCTGAATTTTAGCTGTATATGGGAGCATTATGCTAGAACGGCGTTCGTGGACCTGGGTCGCCGTTACACGATCCTGCGGACCAGTTACCTGAGGATTTGTGTGAGACAGCGGCCCATACGCTTACAGATCCCCCACCACGTTTCACAGCTGGCAACCGATGTTGCGGGCTGTGGGCATCTTTTCGCTTTCCCGTGAGATAAACCCGCCTGGATGCAGGGAATATGGTAAAAGATGACTCACTGGACCATTTTTTCCCATTGTTTTGTGTTTAATGTTTAATGCATCGTTTGGGTCTTGGATACAAACAGTTTCTGAATGGCTGCCCTGCTATAAATTCCGCCTTTGTGTAATGAGTTTTGGTTGAAACTGGTTTCAGTTCGGACATGTGTGGTCACTTAGCAACTGTCCTAAACATCCCTGTTGGTGAACTTTGACATCAAGTTCGAGTTCGCCGTTTATGCCTATTTGGCATGAATATGCCATGCTTTTGTAATTTTTTGAGACATTTAGAATTGAGGTACCAATAATATGGCCCATTGCAACTTTACTAGTTGCCTCATTTCACCGAGAAAACTCAAACTGAAGTGCTGATTTTCAGATTTCATTTAATGCATTAATTTTTCAGCTTCACTAATAGGATTAGCAGTTGCAAACTTACAAAAGACATATGCAGTATCTTTTTTTTTACAGTCTCAAAATCTGACATTTCCATCCCTATTTCCATGTCATTTCAGTAAGATGGATTCCTGGATCAATATATTTTGTTGGTCCTGGAACAGCGGTCATATCAACCATTCGTTGAATTATTAATGTAGTTAATGGTTAGGGTTAAGTATAGGTTCCAGATATCCTACTTGATTCATTGGTGGTCAATGAAGGATACCGGGGTCTACAACAGGGGTTCTCACCTCTTACCTCCAACCTTGATCAAACTCACCTGCCAGTAACTTCCTAGTGATCCTGAAGACCTTGATTAGCTTGTTCAGGTGTGTTTGATCAGGGTTGGAGCTAAATTCTGGAGGAAAGTGGGCCTCCAGGGCCAGAGTTGAGAACCCCGGTCTACAAGATTATTGACTGATTTAAAAAGGACCCAAATAAATTACATAATTATAAATGAGAAAAAGCACCAACATTAAATTCATCAATCTATAAATAAATAAATAAAGCAATAATGTATTTTTAAATAATCTTTAATGAATAAATAAGTGGTTCACAGGTCTAAATGCATTTATTTTTTATTTTTAAATAATAAAAAAAGTCTAGTTCATTTCAATAAAATATGAACAAAAAAGCACTCTGGAAAAACTATGGATTAGTAAAAGTAAGGCTTTTCAAAATTTGAGATATAATGTAAACATTGGAGTTCTACTTTGTCACCAGCTACTTTTACAGAACTTTGGCTAACGTTCTTTCAAAGTTATGAACAAATGTTCTTCCAGTAAATAATAAAATGTTAATAGAATATGTAATCAATAGAATGTTTCTTTAGAGTTTCCTGGTCTTTAATAATGTTCTGAAAACATGTTATGTTTACATCTTTCATGTAATGTTTTATTTCTAAAACATCTTAGTGGGATGCTCATCAAATTTTTTTTTTTTCAGAACGTTCAAACTTAACATTCCCATTAAGTTTGCAAAATTCTAAAATGGAATGTTCCCTTAAAAATGTTTTGTAATATCCTCTGAACATTCAGAAAGAACATTTTCATTAATGGGAACGTTAGCAAGACACTCTTGGGTCATATTTTTTGTTAGCTGGGTTAGAGGAAGTTAGATCCACCATGTTTGATAGGAATTTGTTCCAGTACCAACAAAAGATGGTTATCCAAGTATTTTTATTTCCAGGCTACGGATCATTTGTTGTATATCGTGCTAAACACCTGAGATGAAGATTAATTCTGACAAGATAAAAACAGGCCTGTCACAACAGCGTGAGACTGACGAGAGCAAGAAGAGTCAAATTAGTCTCTAGTGCATCTTTAATGCAGTTTTCAGGTACATTATTATATGCAATGAGAATATCATGTCACAATACTCAGTGTGTATGCATTTAGTTTGATGGCACAATTGGCTTTAACTTCTCTTTTGCTGATTTGGGTCTCAGGATGGCAGAACTTAACCACTGTGAACAAAGAAGTTCAATGCAGTGTTCACAAGTGGGCTAAGTCCTGACACCACACAACCAGCATAGAAATGCACGTCAACTGGGACTTCTGTCACCACTAACTCATGTGCGAGACGGTCTGCATTCCTTCAGGATTAGGGTCTCACATGTTCAGGTGTGTGTGTGTTTGCAATGCATATATCTGGCGTGTCTGCAGTCTCTGAGTCGAGTCCCTCACACGAGCCATTGGAAATCCCTGGCAATGTGATTCAGTCATTAGATTTAAAAATCACTCTGCCAGGAATTCCCCTGGCTGGCAGAAGAGGAGGTTCCGGGCTTAAATCATTCTGTCTGAGGTGGGGTCCTACATTTCTATATCTGTCCTAACATATCATACAGAAGGGCTCTGTGAGAACAGCAGACAGATAGCAAACAGACAGGACAAAAAAAAAATGGGGGAGAGTTCGGCCTAAAATGAAAGTTTTATCATCGTTTACTCACCCTCGTGTCATTACCAAACTGTAGGGCTTTCTTTTTTTATCTGTGAAACATGAAAGGAGATGTTTAGGAGAACGTCAACGCTGCTCTTTTCCATACAGTGCACACATACAGGATGCTGAACTCTTAAAAGGACAGAAAAGCACCAGCGAAGTACTTGCCCAGCAAACAAAAATATGTTCTAAAAACATACTGTTCCCATTAAGTTATGAAAACATTAATTCTGAATGTTCTCTGACTATTTGAAATATTTTTGTTATGCAAACGTTAAGTGAACATTCCATTTTAGAATTTTGTGAATATTATGGGAACTTTAGTTTTGAACGTTCTTTTAAGCATTCTGAAACGAGTAGTAATATTTGAAAAAAAGTTGAATGGATGCCCAATTAAAGCGTTTCAGAAATCATGTATAAACAAAGTTTTTGTGCTAACGCTTGAGAACATTATTAAAGACCAGATAACTCTGAACAAACTTTCTGTTTACATTACTGGAAGAACGTTTGTTTATAACTTTGAAAGAACCTTGCCAGAATGTTAGCCAGTTATAAAAACATGTCAGCTGGATGTAAGCTAAACCCAAGTGACAACATTTCTGCAAAATTATGCTACTTTTTGCACATTTTGCGGCACGTTCAAAGTGAAATATCCAGTGAGTGGCACTAAAAGCTCGTTTAGATTATCAGAAACAGATGAATGTGAATCTGCCAATGTTTTATTATGTTAGTTGTTGTGTGTATCGCAGCAGTTTGGAAATAAAATGTTCGGAAAGTGGCTCTAAAAGGTCGCGTTTTTTTAATGAACTAAATCTTGCTCTAAACGTACCCTAAAACGTTAACAAACGTGAGTTAAAAATGCAGTTGCTTAAGCAACCTTGCTTCTACAAGTTTTTCAACTGCTTATCGAGTTCATTATTGTTGTGTTTGTATTAAACTGCAGTGAATAGCATGTATTTTGGAGTTTTGCAAAAATGTTCCTAGAGGAATGTTTTTACAATGGGCCTATGTTGACTTTAATTTTTGATTCTTTTTGGAGCTTAACAGGCAGCGTGAACATCTTCTTTTGGGTTCCACTGAAGAAAGAATGTCCAACAGGTTTAAAAGCAAGTAAATGATGACACATGTAAACTTGCCTGCACTTGTCTGTTTAACATGCAAAGTGTGTGTGTGTGTTTGTGTCTTCAAAGGGCACCTCATTTTTTGTCATGTAGACCGTGGTCACTGCAGCTGGCCCCTCCTTCTGCAAGCGTCTGAGTGACTGGGCTTCCTGTAGACCTATAAAAATAGCTTTTCAATGACAGTTTGAAATGAGGTCAGAAAGACGTGCAGTCCCTGCCGAGTGACCGTAAAAAAAACGTTAAGTATGTTGCTCTGTTCAAAACCCCGTGTCTCATCTGGAGTACAATTTAAAGAGTGACAAAAACCAGGCAGAACCTGTGAAGGATCTTGACAAAGAACAAAACTGCACAGATGCACATATTACAACAATCTATCGTTAAACACACACCATGTCCTCTGTTTCTCGGCTATAGCTTTGTACTTCAGTCACGTTCCAACGGTGACACAGAGGCGGGCGCGCTGATGTTTGGTGCACTGTATTTTATTTTGATAAAGTACCAACTGCGCTGTCAAGTTATCATTTAATATAATATTTAGTATTTTCACATCTAGGTGGAAACATTTTTTAATTTGTTCTACTGTCTGTTCAAAATAAATGAAAAGAAACCTAGCATAGTAGATTTGTATTTTCCCCGTTGTACCGAAATCGTATCGAACCGAGGAACGTACCGAACCGTGACATATGTGTTATATACTGTATGTATATTCAATTGATTAAAAAAAATAACTAATTAATCGCATATTGTTTCTGAAATAAATTGCGATTAATCGCGTATCACAGGCCAAAGTCAGTTCCTGCATATAAATAGCACGCAAAATAGCTGTTTATCGAGTGCCGCTATTCGCGCTTTACTGGACTCATCATATCCGAGCACTGTGCATTGCTGTATCAGATGAGCTCCCGAGCAAGTTTACTTCAGGAATGTCATACATATTTTGTAAATGTAAAATGTCAAAATGAAAATGGTAAAAGTGGTTTGAGGTCATAACACAGCATTGCGCAGTGATCATATGTGAAAATAAATCCTAATTAATCAGTATTCAAGCTGTAATCATAATTTGTGTGAAAAGGAATAAAAGTTGGTGTTTTACTGCAAATGGTGTTATTTTCAGCTGGAAACTGCAGTGAATACTATGTATATGTATGTTTTTAGAGCAACATTTTTACAGTATAATGGTACTTTTTGTTTCTTTTTAGAGCTTAACAGGCAGCGTGAACATCTTCTTTTGGGTTCCACTGAAGAAAGAATGGCCAACAGGTTTAAAAGCAAGTAAATGATGACACATGTAAACTTGCCTGCACTTGTCTGTTTAACATGCAAAGTGTGTGTGTGTGTTTGTGTCTTCAAAGGGCACCTCATTTTTTGTCATGTAGACCGTGGTCACTGCAGCTGGCCCCTCCTTCTGCAAGCGTCTGAGTGACTGGGCTTCCTGTAGACCTATAAAAATAGCTTTTCAATGACAGTTTGAAATGAGGTCAGAAAGACGTGCAGTCCCTGCCGAGTGACCGTAAAAAAAACGTTAAGTATGTTGCTCTGTTCAAAACCCCGTGTCTCATCTGGAGTACAATTTAAAGAGTGACAAAAACCAGGCAGAACCTGTGAAGGATCTAGTGAATCTTGCAGGACCACTCATTCTCTCAGATAAAGTCCCAGAGGACCAGACTTGTTTCACAGTTGGAAAGTTGTAGTATTTTAAGTGTTTACTTCATGTGTTTAATGCATTGCTAAGAGGAGTTTTATTTCAATATCAGCTTCATCTCAGATGTTTCTCCTAAAATAGAGACTATTATAGACAGAGTAAGAGTTTGGACCTATAAAATCAGTGTAGATGGCATTAAGTTCTTGGATTGATACAAATTTTGGCACACTTTGAGACATTACTGAGATCTATTCTAGAAGAGACACATCTTTGAAAACTACAGTCTTTCTTAAGAGAATCGGTCTCCATTTGCTCTTCATTTCACCTCATTGCAGTCTATTACGGCAATCTTTCCTACAGCTACTCATCAGTTTGGAGTTTTTAAAGCAGAAACATATTTTCCAGTTGTAACATGTCACTTCGCATTCTCTTCAAACTGTTTTCCCTCTAAACATTTATGAAGGAACATTTACAGCATCGTAACCAGTCGACAGAATCGTTCCAGTTCCTCACAGCATCTCGCAGTTGTCAATACAAATGTCAGATTTGAAAAAAAAAAGGACATGAATATGTCCAGACGCAGGGGAACTCCTAGCTTACGTAAACCAGGAGCATTATGTTTATGTCTTTACATAAAATATCCCGGATGATGCTGCAAGTAAACCTGCCAGCTCTAAACAAAGACCTCCATTACTTATAGAGTAACTATTTGCGGTGCTGTTTTTTCAGGTTTTTTCCCCACTAACTGCGCAAGATGAGACTTTGCAGTTAAGTGTTACAGACAGACAGTCATTTAGATGCTGATCAGAGGATGTGGCCCGTCGGTCTTACACGCACGCACAGGCCCCAAAAAACAGTTAGGACATTAAAGCCGCCGTTAAAAATGTCTGAATTTCATTTGATAACAAGATATCAAAGCAAGTGCTCGTAACCTGCATTTTAAGGATCTTTTCTCTTTGCTATCTTCACTTTTTTTTTCATGGTTTTTGCTCAATGTTGTCCTCAAGTTAACATCAGGTGTAGTTCATCACATTAACTATGGCCTTATTTAATATTTCACAACCACAAAATGTTTACTTTATCAGTAATTCTAAAGAATATCTGTTGTTTTATCATGTAAAGCCTAAGAAAACTCATTTTTTTTTGTGAAATGTTTTGACTGAAAAGTGTCCTTGTTTTCAAAAATGCAGACATTTTTGATCTCACTTCTACACCCAAGTCAGGCTTTCCCCACTAACTGCGCAAGATGAGACTTTGCAGTTAAGTGTTACAGACAGACAGTCATTTAGATGCTGATCAGAGGATGTGGCCCGTCGGTCTTACACGCACGCACAGGCCCCAAAAAACAGTTAGGACATTAAAGCCGCCGTTAAAAATGTCTGAATTTCATTTGATAACAAGATATCAAAGCAAGTGCTCGTAACCTGCATTTTAAGGATCTTTTCTCTTTGCTATCTTCACTTTTTTTTTCATGGTTTTTGCTCAATGTTGTCCTCAAGTTAACATCAGGTGTAGTTCATCACATTAACTATGGCCTTATTTAATATTTCACAACCACAAAATGTTTACTTTATCAGTAATTCTAAAGAATATCTGTTGTTTTATCATGTAAAGCCTAAGAAAACTAATTTTTTTTTGTGAAATGTTTTGACTGAAAAGTGTCCTTGTTTTCAAAAATGCAGACATTTTTGATCTCACTTCTACACCCAAGTCAGGATTGAACTCAAATGTCCAGTTACCGAAAGCTGCAAAAGAGTTTAAAAGCATGATATTTTCCCCTTAGAAAACTCATTATGCGTTTTCCACACACAAAAACGCGCCTTTCCAAGTTAGACTGCAACTGAAACGATGCATTAAGACCGAATATTGCTTTGGAAGGGCATCTGGACCATCTGAAGCGCTGTGATGTGTTTTCCCGATTTTCAAATGCTTGAAATCATCCACCCAATCTAGACTTGATGAAGTGATGCCTCACGAACGGGAAGATCGCTGTCCATTAATATTTTCCATCAGATCTTTCCTTTCAGCTTTTCCACCCCTAAATTGAAGCCGCAGTTGTTCTTTTTGCCAGTGATCTCAGTCTTTCCTCTCACTAATGTCAGCGTCTGGTGTGATGCAGCCGATGCGGTTACACCTCACAGAGCAAATGAGCAGGAAAGACTTCTTACAGTCGTCCTCGTGATGAGAAGTCACACTTTCATGCTGCAGCTAATTTTAGGGATTGAAGAAAAAATACCCATAATATCATTGGCTCTGCTGCTTGCCAGATCCATATAATTGCCATCAAATTAGATTTTTCATTTAGCCGCTGTAGGTACTCTGATACTGGACCTTTTAAAAAAGTGGACATAGGATTGGACGCATCTGTTTAGGCCCACACAGCATCATTATACATATTCAGTAAGCAGATGCAAAATGACTTTCAAATGAAAATAACACAAGAAGCATTAAAAAAAAAATTCAACAAGTAAAATACTTTAAAAAAGTCTAATTGTGTTGACTGAAACACCAGCAATATATAAAAAAAGTATTAATTTTTCTGATTTTAATTTGATATATTATATAACAGTAGCCTATAATATTAATATCTAAATGCAATGTTGTATAAATATCTAAATATTTATACATTAAATGAGAACAAAATGTATATAAATATATTTATTTAATCAATTTCTCATATTTACTTAATCTTATTGCACATTATCAGATTTTTTAAGTGAAATTCAAACCATTAAACAGTAGAGGACTGAATGTAATTAATGACTCAGCAAAAATCATGACCGACGGCTTCTATAAGCGTACAGTACTCCACCCTGCCCGTGAGAATATGTGCGTCTTATTTGTTCATGAGCTTTATTTAACTCAAAACCAAAGTGACTGACACCAAATACAACTTCTGCAGAGAAAAGCCGTTTGTTCCCTTTTAAATCGAGCGTAAATTCACAGCTCATGGTTCTCGTGCTAATATCCCTGTAACTTTACTCCAGATACTGTTACACTCAATCCTCAGCAGCAGCCATTCACTTCAGCACAGTGGCCATGAAGAAAACACTCAGCAGCAAATACAGGAATCCATCACACTTGTTCCACTTGCGCGCCGTTTCCTAATCTCCGTACCAGTCCTGAGGACTCCCGTGCTCTCTGAAAAGTGGGACAGGCCTGTTTCCAGAACCTTGAAGCTTCCCTCTGTCTCTCTAGTTTCTCTCGCGGTCTCAATTTCTCATTTTTAGGCTTAACACTATTTGATACACTTCACAATCCTACACAATTTGCTACAATTGACTATATACTAGAGTACACACTTCACTGTATTATACGATAAAATGCTTGTCTTTTTTACTATAGTATACTGTGCTACACACTTTACCATACTGTGCAATGCATTTTATTATACTACACACTTGTATTACACACTACAGAATATCATACTAAACAATTCGCTGTACTAAATGCTTCAATTTATTATACACTGTACTATACTACAGTATATATTGTAACACTATTTTATACACTTCAAAGTACTACACAATTTACTACATTTGACTTTTTACTGTATACCGCAACACACAATTTATTATACACTATATACTACAAAATACTTGTCTATAGTATATAATATACATAATATATCACATACAGTATATAATATACTCTACTACACAGAGAGAGAGAGAGAGAGAGAGAGAGAGAGAGAGAGAGAGAGTTCGTCTGGGGGCCAGACAGGGTGAAAGTGAATGAGAGCGGAGTGAGAGAGACCAGCGAAGGGAATTCCTATTTGTATAACGTCAGAAGTTGAGCCCTCCCCTACATCAGCGTGGATCACAGGAAGAGGCAGGGAGCAATTATACAGCAGATACACACACACACACACACACACCTCGTGCTATTAACGTTTCATCTGATCTCTTCCAATCACTGTTTCACCTGCATCTGTTGAGTTTCATCCAGGACAGCAGCATGTGATTGCTCTCTTTCTCAGTCTTTTACTATTCTCTACTGTACCTTCGCATTCTGCATTGGACTACACCATACTACACAATATTTAACTTCAATAAACAACATTATAAACTACAAAGTAATGTTTTGTAGAACAGCACACTGTAAACCACAACTAGAAAATACACTGTAGTGTACTTATTGTATATGTAGATCAAAGATCAAGAAATATTATGCTCTAAATAATATATTACACTACACCACACTGTACTTCACTACACTGCACTATACACCATTTTAATACACTACACTACAAAAATACCATATTATAGTGCAATATTCTCTATAATATACATTTTACATGTTGTGTATACATTTAAACATATTATATTCTATATAAATATTTTTACATCTGTCATTTTACATCTCACTTTGTACACTAATCACTTTACTGTACTATACTGTTCTGTATGTATATACAATACATAGAGAACAGCATACTGTTTAACTTTATTTAATATCTGTAGTACCTTATTTTTTTTCTAAACACTTTTTGCTATACAATAATATATATATATATACATACATGCATGCATACATACATACCAGTATATATATATATATATATATATATATATATATATATATATACACAGTGGGTATAAAAAATTAATCACCCCCTTAAATTTTTTTTTACTTATAACATGCAAGTGAAAAATATAACACCAAAATGTCAGAGAAAAAAACATATCTTTCGCTTGGATGTTATAAGTTGCACTGAGTAAATACAGCTGGATAAAACAATAACTGTGTCCATCTTTATTTCAGGCTGCAAAGCAACAACATGTGATTAATGTGTTAATTAATTTTTTCTAAACACTTTACTATGCTATACAATAATATTTGAATACAATACATATATAATAATTTTACATTTTAATATGCAGCATATTAGAAACAGATATTATTAAGTAAAATGACACTTGGTTTTGGTTATTTTTTACATCTGTTGTTCATTTTCAGACACTTTCATTCATGCTTGTGCTTCATTTAAACATT